GGAAGTTTTTTTCCAGAACTTCAGAGATGCTCTTCCCAAAAACATGAGAGAAGTTATAGCTAGAACTATTCCCGGAATTTCATAAAAATTCTTCTCATAACTTCAGATATGCTCTTCCCAGAGCTCCAAGGAAGTTCTTTCCAGAACTTCAGTTACTGTTCAGCAAAATTTCTGAAAAGTCCTTCTCAGAACTGCAGAAAAGTTCTTCCCAGAACTCCAGGGAAATTTTATCCAGAACTTCAGATATGTTTTTCCCAAATGCTCTTCGGAAGTTATTTCCACAACTTCAATAAAGTTCGTCAAAAAACTTCGGGAAAGTTTTTCCATGGACTTTAGGGACGTTCTTTCCAAAACTATAGGAAAGTTCGTCCTAGAGCTTTAAGGAAGTTTTTTCCAGAACTTCAGAGATGTTCTTCCCAAAAACATGAGGGAAGTTATAACTAGAACTATTCCCGGAACTTCGAAAAATTTCGTCTCATAAATTCAGATATGCTCTTCCCAGAACTCCAGGGAAATTTTATCCAGGACTTCAGAGATGTTCTTCCCAAAACTTGAGGGAAGTTCTCTCCAGAACTTGAGAGAAATTCTTACCAGAACTTCAAACAAGTTCTTCTCAAAATTTCAGAAATGCTCTTCCCAGAGCTCCAGCGAAGTTATTTCCACAACTTCAATAAAGTTCGTTAAAAAACTTCGGGAAAGTTTTTCCATGAACTTTAGGGACGTTCTTTCCAAAACTATAGGAAAGTTCGTCCAAGAGCTTTAGGGAAGTTTTTTTCTCCAGAAATTAATAAAAAATCATTCCATATCTTCTGGGAAGTTCTTCCCAAAACTTAAGGGAAGTTCTACCCAGACCTATAGGGAAGTTCTTTCTAGAACTTCAGAAAAGTTTTTCTCAGAACTGCAGTAAAATCTTCCCAGAAATTGAGGGAAGATTTTCTCAAAACTTCATGGAACTTGTCATCGACATCATGGCACGGAACTTTGAGACGATGGCGGAAACGTACATCAGACTGAAGGCTGAAGCTAGGCGGATTGGACTTGCCATCAACGCATCGAAGACAAAATACATGACAGGAAGAGGTTCTAGGGAAGACAATGTTAGTCTCCCACCCCGAGTTCAGATTGACGGTGACGAAATCGAGGTGGTCGATGAGTTCGTGTATTTGGGATCACTGGTGACCGCCGAAAATGATACCAGCAGAGAAATTCAAAGATGCATTATGGCAGGGAATCGTGCCTACTTTGCACTCCCGAGAACGCTCCGGGCGAATAAAATTCACCACGAAGTAGGCTATCTACAAGACGCTGATTAGACGGGTGGCCCTCTACAGCCACGAGACCGTGACTATGCTCGTGAAGGACAAAAGCGCCCTTGGTGTTTTTGAACGGAAGGTGTTGCGTACCATCTACGGTGGAGTGCAGATGGATGACGGAACGTGGAGGAGGCGAATGAACCACAAATTGCACCAGCTTGGGCGACTACGGTGGGCTGGGCACGTCGTAAGAATGCCGCACGACGACCCAGTGAAAATGGTTCTAGAAAGCGACCCAACAGGAACAAGAAGAAGAGGCGCGCAGCGGGCAAGGTGGATCGACCAAGTAGAAGGCGACTTGCGGACCCTTCGCAGACTACGAGGTTGGCGAAGTGTGGCCATGGATCGAGTAGAGTGGATACGACTTCTTCGGATAGCAAAGGACAACAAGGCCTTAGTCTGATTGGTAAGGTAAGGTATCCTACAGCAGTGATTGCCTCTCACCCCAGTAGGCTTGGGTTCAATCCCAGTCGGCGCTGCCGGGATGTTCTGAGGCATAAAATCTCTGATCACGCCTTCCTTCGGAAGGGAAGTAAAGGCGTTGGTCAGGCGTCAGTAGCTTTGGAACTCAGTACGGAAAACAAATCAAGGGGAAAAACAAGTGCATCCTAGAATTTAAGGAAATTTTTCCGACGACTTCAGGGATGTTCTTCCCAGAACTTTAGGGAAGTTCTTCCCAGAACATAAGGGAAGCTCATCCCAGAACTTGAGGAAAGTTCATCCCAGAACTTGAAGGAATTTCTTCTCAGAACTTTAGGGAAATTCTTCTCAAAACTTTAGGGAAGTTCTTCTCAGAACTTTAGAAAGCCAAGATTGAACCCAGGCCCTTTGAGGTGAGAGGCAATCACGCTCACTACTACACCACCGGCACTGCTCCTGTAAAATCTTCCCACAACTTGAGAGAAGTTTTTCTCAAAATTTCATGGAACTTCATCTCAGAACCTTAGGGAATTTCTTCCTTGAACTTAATGGATGTTCGTCCCAGTACTTTAGGGAAGTTCTTCCCAGAACCTCAGAAAAGTCCTTCCTAAGAGTTCAGGGAACTACTTCCCACAATTCCAGGGAAGTTCTTCCCAGAACTTGAGAAGAAGTGCATCCCAGAACTTTAAACACATTCTTTATGGAGCTCTAAGGATGTACTTGCTAGAACTTTAGAAAAACTTTCCCACGACTTCAGGGATGTTCTTCACAGAACATTAGGGCAGTTCTTCTCAGAACTTAAGGGAAGCTCATCTCAGAGATTGAGAAAAGTTCATCCCAGAACTTGAGGCAATTTATTCTCAAAACCTGAGGGAAGTTCATCTTAGAACTTCAGAAACCCAAGCACCACAAAACTGTGACAGGATCTTGCAACAACTTGATTAGGATTTAAATAAGTCACATGCAAGAAGCCTCAACCGTTTCGCGCCAAGTGTGCTGCTAGGGAAACTTCTTCGCAGAACTTCAGAAAAGCTCCTCCCAAAACTTCTTCCCGAAACTTTAAGAATGTTCTTCCCAGAATTTTAGGTAAGGTCTTCCCAGAACTTGAAGGGAGTTCTTCGCAGAAATTGAGAGAAGTACATCTTAGTACTCCAGGGAGCTTCTTCCCAATACTTCAGAGATGAACTTTTTTGAAGTTCTGGTAAGTTTTCGATGAACATTTCAAATGGTCCTAACTGCTTTGATCGATTCTCTTCACCGACCTTCTCTTTTCATAACCACTGCTATGCAAACAGATTTAGCGCTAATTCTACAACATTGTTTGATAGAGGAGTTTCTTATCTAGCGTCCAAAACGTCAAATACAACAGGGAAAGGTTTTGCAGCTGAGTTATTGATGAAAGAGAAATTCGATGAAGAGAATCGATCAATGCAGATAGGACCTTTTGAAATGTTTATCTAGAGTTTATCCACGAACTCTGGAAAAGTTCTTCGGTGAACTTCCGAAAAGTTCTTCCCAGAACTCCAGGAAAGTTCTTCCCAGAACTTTAGAAAAATTCAATTAATTTTAGGAAAAAATCTAAAACTTCTAAAAAGTGTTTCCAGAATTTCAACAGAGTTTCCACAAATTCTGAAAATTTCGCAGGAGAACCACAACGGTCTCGTAAAAACTTCTTCGTCATTTGCAGAACTTTTTAAAACTTGAATAAATTCTTCAAAATATAACAGAACAAAAGCAAATTTTATTCGAACTTCTGGAAGGTTTTGAAACATACAGAAAATTTGTATGCGCTCCAGAAAAATTCTGCTAGCTTTCGAGGAAAGTTTGAACAAGCTTCTACGGAAAGTCTGGACGAACTTCCGGAAACAGTCAGAAGACACACTTCCAAAAGAAGTGTGTCTTCTGTTTGGTATTTGAAGGACTATCCCACAGGAAATTGTAAGAATATTCCGAGGGAAGTTGATAGAGACTTTTGAGAAATGTCGGCTGCAATTTCTCGGCAATTCTAAAAGCAGGGGAAGCCAGAAGAAGCTTGCAGTATAAGTTGAGATAAACATACGGAAGCAAGTCTGAATGTACTTTCAGTGGACGTAGAAAACTACTTCTGGGAGAACTCAAAATAAAATTACAGTCGAAGCTGAACAAATTTACTGGTGAGAAAGGAAGCTAGAAGTACCCTCCTGAGATAGTTTGAATGATACTTCAGTAGAAGCCTGAATAATCTTCTGGAAGGATGTCAGAAGACAGATACTGCCTGGACGTGGAAGAGTTCTGGGAATTGCTGCAAGAAGGTTTGTGGAGAAATGTTCCAGAAAAATGGTAGATATCTTGGAGGGAAGTTAAAAGAAAGTACCAATAGAAAACGGAAGAATTTTACGGGTGAAGTAAAAAACATTCGATTGTAGACGAACAAAATTTCAGGGGAAGCCAGAAAAAATATGGGAGCACTTTCCATATTTGGTTTTGAAAGAAGTTTTCTGGAAAAGTAGGAGAAACTTCCAAGCGATTTAAAAAGAAACTTCAGTTAGAGAATAAAAAGAAAAGCTTCCTGGAAGCCTAGTTATTTCCTATCGATTGGTGTATTTGGATTTCAATTTCATCCATAAATGACAAAGTTATACGCGTTCACAACCTAACACCTTTTCGTGATGGTTGCAATTTTAGATTTTAGACTTATCCCTTGTACCTTCCCGTAGTCTACACTACGATTTGAAGCATAATCTCAACTGTAAAAATACAAGAAAAGCTCATACAAAGTAGAAAAATGCAAACGAAATGCCTAAATATGCAGAACATTGTTGAGCAACACCCCCGGCCTCTGAATAAACCACTACCTTCATAAATAACTGTTTCCATCATGGCACAGTACCAAGGTCGTCCAATTTGTCATAATTTCCAACATCAGCCGGAGGTTTTGGCAGCAAAACATGAACCGGCAGCGCAAACAATAGCTCAATTTAGTTGCTAATTCCGCGCGTGAAAAATTGCTGCGATATCAAGTCAACTTTTGCCACCAACTTGCAACGCGAAAATGTTTCATGAGGCCCATGAATAAGCATAAACATAATCAACAATACAAAACATTTCACAACACGCAACACTGAGAAAAAAAAACAGAGGTTCAACGACCTCGCCGTTTGTCCCACAAACAATCCCGCCACCTACAATTATTTGCATTTTGGTTTTCTCCCAGGCGAACAACATAGCTAAATCGGTTATTCACAGCTACAGGTTCAGAGTATGGTACTTGACGTGGGTACTACTCACCTAACTCTAATTTGCTAGACTCGGCCCGGACCGTCGTGGCCACCAGCAGTACGTGGAACCACCATCCGGTCAGCAGCATCGGACCGGCCAGACTGCGCATCGTTTTCCACCGATCATGATCCTGCGCCCTCCTCCGGCCCTGCGTCCCCATGATGCTGCACCGACAAGCACAGCGGAGTGTGCCGGAACTAGCGGCAACCAGCCAGCCGAAGAACCTTCACCGCCGAAGGGGCGTCCACCGTGTCCAAGTCCAAGGTTTCCCTTGCGTCCAAACAACACTCACAGACAAACGGACGTTTAATCCTTTTTGTGCTTTCCGCTCACGATTTTCTCGGAAGCAACAGACACTCGCAGCTGCACTCACGCACGCAGCCCGCAAGGTTAAGGTCACTCTCGTCGAGAATAACACTTTTCGAAACGCACTGCGCCCGGTGCAGGCTCCCGTTGTCGATTGCACACTTCACGGACTTCCTTCTTTTTGATCTTCACTGCTTTGTTTCACTTCTTCTCGCTCAACTTACAACCTAAAACCTGAAGTGCAGAAAATGATCATTAAATCACTCAACTCGATCGGTATTCTTCTTCTTTGTCGTCGTCGTCGTCGTCGCCGTTGCCTTCGCGTCTTCAATTGCAGCAGCCAGCACCTCCGGCAGCATTCCTTCCTTATTACCTTCTGCCGTGCTGCACTTGCGGCTACCTAATAGCTACTGAGCCTACCCGGCGCGCGGTGCACATACGGTGGATCACAGCAGAATGACTTTCAATTTTTGCCGAAGAGATCTCAATTTCAATCCAGATCAAGAATCGATATTACATGCAGAAATCAAAAGCAAAAAATCACCGCGCACAATCTTAAGCTTGTAAGGCGAAGAAGAAAAAAAAAACAAAATCTAATTATAACCCACGGTGTGCTGATGAGTTGGGGTTCACCTTGACCAAACGTTAGAGCGCAATCAAGATTGGTCTTCTTCTACTTCTGTTTGGTACTGTTGTTGTTGTTATTCAAACGACCCTCACACACTGACGATGACAGTGCTGTCGGGAATTTGGCCAACTTGAAAAACAGGCTCAAACTGCTCACCCCCACTTTGGATCGTCAACAGTCGTCAATGAGCTGCCATGACGACACCCAGGGTTTTCCCGGACCCAACCAAGCGGTTCTAGAAGGGCATCCGCACCCGAAACGGTACGTACAAGCTTGCGGTTCGTCGGAGTCGGACTTCTGGAAAGAAGAGAAGAGAAAACAGTTTGACGTTAGTACAATGTATTTAAGGGAGGATGGGATTTGTGCTGTTCTTCGTTGTTGTCTTTGCGAAATTTGATACACGATTGGCTGGTTCTGGGAGGAAGATTGCTAATAAACATCAATTCGAGGTTGGATTCTAGGAAGGCGCTCACGTGCTTGGGAATCTGTGATTCTGGCAGCGGAACTTACGGAATGGAAATTATAAATTTAGCAGATAGTTTATAGCGATTGGGGATGGGCAGCAGTAAAATTAAGATGAAATATGCAAATTGGTTGCGATGCTGGTTGGGCGTAGGATAATCGACCGTTTCGATCGGATCTAGCCCCATGAATGTGGATTAGGCTTTTTAAAGATTTGAGAAAAAATTGCAAATAATGCATAGAATTATCAAGATGAATGTTGAACACCTGTTCAAGAGAAGATCTCAAGGATAGTGGAATACCTTTATCGATCTTTCAGAGCACACTTGTTCTATACACGCTAACTTGAAAGTGGTTGAAAAAGACCCATTTTGAAGAAAAGTGGCTTAACTCATTAAATGAGTAAATTTTTTACCCATTAATGAGTATCTGTTACCCATTAATGAGTAATTGTTAATCATTAATGGGTAACAGATACTCATTAATGGGTAAAATTGTTTAATCATTAATGAGTTAAGCCACTTTTCTTCAAAATGGGTCTTTTTTTACTCATTAATGGGTACTTTCAAGTTAGCGTGTAGGGCATTTTCTGTCCTTGAGCATTTTTTGTCCCGACCCGTTCGGCAGGGATGCCAGGTGTATTTAGAAAAAAATCTTCAACAAGATGGACGCAATGTCTTCATTAGGGGTAGACAACCAATAATCGTATTGATTTAAGTGAGACAGATAATGGGCTGGGTGTTGTTTGCGAATTAAACGTCCAAAATGCTGCAAAACGTACTTTTTCCCAAAATTGTGCTTTGCAAGAATAATAAATGATCAATAAGCTGAAATGTATTTGAGTTTATTGTATTTTTGAGAATTGTTCATAACATATTAAAATGTGGTTAAATAGCTATGTTAATGACACTCTTGGTAAGCTATATAAAATATAGTAATCATCTTTACAGGCTATCAGAATTCTTTTGGAGTGTTTATTGGTTTACACTAAACAGTTTTAGAAGGTTAATTATATCCTGAAGACGCTTAAAATGGTCATAACTTTAAAAAAATAGATTACTAAAAAGCAACTAAGGTCGCTTGAAGTGTTAAGAGAATGTCATTGAAACATACTTTGAATACTCCTTATTTTGACGTAGTACTTTGTGGAATATACTTGGGCTCAAATCAAAAAATTATGTAACGAAATAGTGCTAGGATTTAAACGCTTGCAACTTGGCCATTTATCAATGGATTTAAATTCCTTTCAAACCCTTTGATTCAGAATTGATGTAGGATTTGTTTGGTATAAAGATCATACTAATTTATCATTAGTAAACTATTGAAAATTTATCAAGCTTTTAGGCTGTAATCAACCGCGTTCAAGTTCACGTGCTCACTTGCTATGACTATCGAGAGAACAGAGAGAGACGGCCGGTTGCGAGGTTATGAAAGAGTTTACCTGTATGTTTTGATTCAGATCACCTGGGGATGTGACGGTTGTCATCAGGACCCAACAAAGCCACTGCTGTCAACCATCACTTACAATTGAAAGTCATTCCGTCATCTCTTCGAGCAGATCCCTTTCAACCCAAGGGGTGGTCACTCTACACACAAAATCACGGCCTCCCTGTTCGGTAATTTTTTACTGGGTTTTTGAACAGCTGAAAAAGTCAGTAAACTTAAAAAAATTGTAAAAAATTGTATAAAAGTGATTTTTTATTGAAATTTATACAGACTGTGTTCTTATTACATTTATTTGATGATAAAAATAAAATATGTTAAAATTGTTCGTTGCATTACGTGTGACCGTTATTTTCAGTTTACTGACTTTTTCAGCTGTTTGAAAACCCAGTAAAAAATTACTGACCCCAGTAAAATAATCTCTGTGTGTACACACTTACTTTGCGCCAACATTTTTCTCAGTGTACCTCAGTGTGCCGCAGCTGTATCAGCAGTGCCATGAAGTAGAAGAAGTAATTGCACTGGCGCAGTGATGATGGTCTAGGGACTCGATAACAACGCAGCCAACACCGATAAGCTGTTCAATCTGTCCTTCCTGTATGGAAATGTTGTCAGAATAAAGTTCCTGAAGACCAAAGAGGGTAGATGGGAACGCCATCGCTGTCGAACCAGTCGAACGTACAACCTGCCGCACAATTCGATCAGCTTCAAGGTCTACAACGCCTCCAAGAACAATCACTTCCCAGGCCAGCACAAATCGCATTCTCCACTTCTTCAATACCCCACCCGTATGCCGTCCGAGGATCTGCTGCTGATTGCATGCGCAAGTGCGAATGTTCCCGCTGATATCGGAAATTTCCTCCTCCGGATTGGTGGAGTTCCCGAGCGCAGCCCTGGCGGTGAACGCCATCATAAAGTGCTGGTGGTGTAGTAGCGGTGGCGTGAGAGCTGCATCGCTAGTTCGTTTAGCCATGGCCGGAAACCTCGGTCAGGTCAAGATACCGCTGTCATCTGTTCTTCGTCTGGGAGGAAATGTGGATGCGACTGCCGTCACGGGTGTAACGATTTTGAGAATCCATGGCGAGACTTGGTGGAGATTCACGGTTGTTTTGAAAATAATTTGATTATATTATGGCAACATCAATAACACATTTTGACACATGCACACTGAAGCGCAGAAAAAGTTCAGTGTTGCCAGTAACTTTAAATATAATAAAAATTGTAACCATGGGTGCCAAACAGCGTCAATGACGACGCCCGGGGGTGCCCAAGTTTGATTTTGGCACACTGTGTAGAGTGACCAACCCCTTGGATGGCAGCTTCCGATTTAACAAAAAGTGGAAAATATTAATTTCCATTTAATTCCACTACCTTATTTGCCTATCCTTGACACATACGCTTATTTCGTCTACAATATGTCAAAATACTGAACACTGAAAAATACCCATAAATATATGTATTTTTGCAATCGGGGTTTCTAGAGATTGGAAAAAGACATGTGACGAAAAAACGAAGGAAGCAGTTTTCGAGGCATTCATTTCGTCAATTGAAACAAGTCTTCGCTTCAAATGAAATGAACTGAAGCACTTGACGAACGAAACAAGCAATAGTCCAGTCATGTTTGAACAGAGGAATGTTCATCGTGAGTCGATGACAAGAAACATGATGACTTACACGAACATGATATTGCTCGAAATGAAGCGATTCTGCGGAGAGTTCATTTTCTTTTCTTTGTTTCGAAAATGCAGAAACCTGGTTGTCACATCGTTAGACGCCGTACACGGCCGATGAGACTAGCTCAAAATGGAGAAGGATTTCTTTTCGGGGGGAAAAACGAATGTGACTTCCTACAATGTTCTAGGCATAATTCCAAGGATTTTATTAAATCTTTAATGTAATTCAGAGTGATTCTTCTTCTTCTTCGCATTTCAAGCTTATTGCATACCGCATACTAGCTTATTGCGTGCTCTCAACTTAGTGTTCTAGATGCACTTCCTCAGTTATTAATTGAGAGCTTTCGATGCCTGTACCATTTTTGCATTGATATGATTTGGTGGCAAGTCCAATCATACTTCTATGCCCAGGGAAGTCGAGAGATTTTCCAATTCGAAAAATTCCTAGACCGGACCGGGAATTGAACCCAGCCACCTCCAGCATGGTCTTGCTTTGTAGCTGCGCCTTTACCGACTGAGCTAAGGGAGGCCCCATTAGAGTGATATTTTATGGGAAATTTGAGATGAATTCCAGAGTTGAACAAGCCAAAGGTTGATGACAGCCTCTTTAATAAAAATAACTAACTAACTTCAGCTGAATTGCACGGGAATTCAGAAAATGTTGTCTAAGGAATACTATGATAATCAAATTTTGAGAAGAGTTCCAATGGAATTCAGAGAAAAGTTCCAACTAAATTAAGAAATTTCTGGATGAATTCCAAGTGAGTGTATTACCAAGGCAAATTTCAGTAGAATTTCAATATCACTTATAGAAGGCTACTGAGGTTATTCTGAAAAGTATACCACAGACAAACAGACATACCTCTTGCATGTTTTTTTTTATCGAACACGCATTTCCTTGACGTTTACACACTACCGCTATCTGTTGACCGTACTGCACGTGACACTGTACTCAATAGATGGCGGTAGTGTTTAAGTGACGATGATTTACAGTGAAAAATATGATACGACAAGAGCTCTTGGCATTGCAATTTACTTATGCTTGGAAGTTCTTTTCTAACTGCTTCCGAACTCAACCATAGGGCATAAATTCACTCCGAAATCCTCCACATTCATGGTGACCAGCTAATTTCGATTAGCAATTTCCCGGTTTTTCCCGCTTTTTGGTTTTGCGACACGTTCGAAGTCTTCACAATTTGCGTATGAAAATTTCGCTCAAAACTTTACAGGCTTTTATTTTATTGTTCTCCAGTATTTCCTTGGTATTAACACTCCGATACGATGCCTCCAAAATGCGTGTAACGGCAAGTTTGTAATGGCACTACTTAGCCATTTCTTGATGAATTTCAAAAATTGTGGTATCTCTAGAATTCCTAGGGTTTGTAGGTTATTTTGATTATAAAAACGTTGAAAATAGAGTCGTCTACTTTAAAAAACAAAGCGAAAAGAGTCGTTACACGTTTTATTTTAAGGTGTGTTTATGGGTTTTGCAAGTGACTTAAGGGCTATATTTAGATTAATGGGCACAAATGTTCATAATAAGCCAGAATACAGTTTTTAACGCGGCGGCAGTGAATAATTCGCGGTGGAAAATTCTCCGCGTTATAAATGCATGACGGCTTTCGGAAGCGCTCAAACCAACGCGGCAAGTTGACGCTGTTCACGCGTTTTGCAGCGTTTCTTTTGCGTGCACTTTCGATTAGCTGTCTGCAGCGTTTT